GGCAATATTAACTCGTGCACGCGTAGCGATGTGGTGGAAACTGTCCAAGCAAAAAGCAGAATTCAGTTGCAAATATAGTCTAGAAAAGGAAAAAAGTTATTCGTTACAAAGAAAACAACCTTTGAGGGAGAAGTTTTAAAATGAATTTTAATTTATCCATTGTGGTAATTGAAAATTCAATTCAATTTAATGGTCCATGGTGATAATTGAAAAAATTATACAAAGTGCTAAAATTTATGTAAAGTGCTAACTCTCGATAACATGGATGTTATCATTCTCTTTAAAAATTATCCTTTTTTCCCCAACAGCTTGCTTCCGCTTCTGTCCGCTCATTAGAAAACTGCGAATTTCCAATTACTTTTAACGTGTTGCATTTGGTATTGGCGTTAATTAGAGTTCTAACTCGGATACGTATAACATGCAATTATGGAAAGCGCTCGTATAACTCGCATAACCATTTCATAGCTGTACCTCTAGGCACTGTATAAAATGTACCCCGTGATTGCAAGCGATCCATAGTTAGAAGCTCGCGTATCAATGTCAGTTAGAAGTTATCCCGTAGTTATGATGAAAGATGGTTGGAAATTCTTTTTTCATTTATTATCACGATATAGTACAATTTCATAGCGTGATTCTTCTCGTGACTCAGCAAACTAATTTTTTACATTTTTGCCACGTCATATATTTTTATTCATTTTTACAGCTTTACGATAGATATTTATACATCTATAAGTGTATTAAATTGTACGTAAAAGAGAACGTTGCGCAATTTACGATAAATGGCGATAAATATATTGCTACTGCCTCGGGGAACACAGCGTCAGATTTTCGTCATACGTCAGTTTTTACGGTTACGCGACCGCAATCGCGTTAATATCTGTTTCGCCGCCACGCAAGTGGTATTTGGACTTAACACAGTCGCGCGTCAGGCGACGTGAAAAAACATGTACAAACGTTGTCGTCGCGAGTGGAAGAGTGGATTTCACAATCCTACGGCTTGCCAAGAATTTTCAGGCGAACGACAGGCTTCGCGGGACAGCACGGGAAGCTTCGCAAAGGAACGGATCCGTGTTTCACGCTCGAGAGCGTTGAAAACGCGCTGGCTAACGGGTTAATGAAAATACATGGCCCCCAATAAGAGAAAATAATCGCTCGTTCAATCCGTTTCTTTCCCCCATTATCCTTTCCTGCGTATATTCCAATAACACCTTTTATCTCTTTCGTTCCAATCTTACGCGCAGCAGTTGCGCAGTTTAGACAATACGCAATAAATAACGTATCGTTCGAGAAAAACGAATCCTTTTTTTTTTTTTTTTTTAGGTAATTACTTCATTTGGTTATAGCATTTTTAGAAATACTTGAACGAGTGAAATCATAAATTAAACGCTGTTCAACAATGAGAAACGTTAATTATTGTCTCAACTCGATCAACCTTTTTTCCATGCTCCTTGATTTAAACACTTTTTGAGAAATAACAAAACGATTCTCCTCTGTTCGATAAATCTGACCCAAGACAGACAATTTCTCAATTTTAAATCCATACTTTCGGAAACACGTATCACGCTGTTTTCGCCTCAATTGCGACGGAACAGTGAATTTTCGCGCGCGATAAAAAACGACGAGGAATAAATAAATTCTAAAATAAAAAAAAAAAAGAAAAAAGAAAAAATTTGTTGCCTTCTAGCACCGTGTAATTTTTCGAAGGGTCTTTTATTGTCACGAGGACACAATGACCCGTGCGCGAACCCCTTTTTGGTCGCATTACCAGCGGCATTTCGGTGTTGCCGCGATAAAATAAAACATTTCGCGAAATAACGAGGCCACTGATGCGTCTACAAAAAAATCTACGCGACCGTGCGTTTCGCGAAAGTGCGCGTGTGCAAGTGTGCATTGAGAGCGAACGAGCGCGCGCGCTTCCGTCGTGTTCGCCATCGCGAACGAACATCGGTGTAAATTGAACACATGTTTTGCATTAGCGGTGCCATTTTCGGCGTATACGGTTTCACGAAAAACCTACATTTTCGAACACCTCGATACATTACCGCATCGGGTCTGCGTCGGATTATTTGACGAAACGTCGATCGAGGGATGGAACGTTTCCCGGTTATCTAAACTGGATCGCTTGCTCGTTGGAATTTGACGAATTACGTGCATTCGACGAAATTTATTTCTTTTTTCTTTTTTAATGAACTAATGAGAATATACCTCAAGAGAAACAGATGTAATTAATTGGATTAAATTACTGGACATTATGATTGTTTGTACGAGATTTATTGAAAATGATCGTCGATTGTCGGAAATTGTTGATTGGTTTGTAATTAATTGTGATCTCTTTGATATTTGGTAGCGTTATACATTATCTGGATAATTCTATGGGAACATATGTATTCATTTGTTATGGAAACTTTTCCAATCATCGTTTCAATCACATTCATATTATAAATGTGTGTTTAATATTTTCTGTCTGTCGCATATCTTCATTTCCAGTTCTACTTATAAAGAGCAACGAGATTTGTCTTTAAATGTAATGTTAAGAATAACTACATCAAATTGTTGTAATGTTAAGTGTACCTAACAATTTCTCCTTAAAGTTATCAAAACTATTGTCAAAATCAAACCACTCCAAATCTAACTCTTTAGAAAAACCACGTTTTTAAAAACAATAAAAACCCACCCTCACAATTATCAAACGACTATCAAAATCTTATCTAAGAGAAACGATCTTACATTTAATTTTGCACAAAAGCGATATCTTTAAAAAATCGCTGATATCTTGATAAAAAAAGAATAGAAATAATACAAACCCTGTTCAAAAGTTACCAAGTAGACCACAATAAAAATCTAATTCGCTGGAAACCACTCTAAATGCTCTCTATAAAATAACACCTCTGATAAATAAATAACTATTTAAACTACCTATCTTGATAGATGAATAACGCAAAATAGCACAATCCAGTTTCAAAACTGTCAAGGCAACAATAAAAATCTAATCCGTTGGAGACCACTCCAAACAGAAATACAACACCTTTTAAAAAAATACCTTTGATACCTTGATAGATAAATAACACGGATAGCACAAATCCAGTTCAAAAGCTACTACAATAAAAATCTAACTGGAAACCATCCGAAATGTAACTCTCTGCAAAACAACACCTTTTAAAAAATACCTTTGATACCTTGATAGATAGATAACACGAATAGCAAAAAACCTAATTGATCAAGGTGCCAAGACGATCAAAATCAAATTCGCTAGAAGTCACCCCAAATGTAATTCCTTATATAAACGACATTTTAAACAATATCTTTGATTCGAAATAACGCAAATAGTAGCTGTCAAGGCCAAAATAAAAATCCATACTTTTTAAAAGAATACTTTTGGTAGCTTGATCGATAGACAACGCAAACAGCACGAATCCAGTACAAAATCTGCCCAATACCACAATGAAACTCTAATCCGCTGTAAATCACTCTCGTATAGCTATCTACAAAACAACCTCCTTTAGAAAATACATTTGATACCGCGATGGATAGGTGACACGGTAATAGCTCGAAACTTGCCGCGATAAAAATCGAAATGTAATTATCCACCTGAAACGTAACCATCCCCAAAGCGCCCCCCTCCCCCCCAATAACGCAAATAGTAACAGTCAAGGGTAAANTCCTTTAGAAAATACATTTGATACCGCGATGGATAGGTGACACTAATAGCTGGAAACTTGCCGCGATAAAAATCGAAATGTAATTATCCACCCGAAACGTAACCATCCCCAAAGCGCCCCCCTCCCCCCCAATAACGCAAATAGTAACAGTCAAGGGTAAAATAAAAATTCACACTTTTTAAAAGAATACTTTTGATAGCTTGATCGATAGACAACGCAAACAGCACGAATCCAGTATAAAATCTGCCCAATACCACAATGAAACTCTAATCCGCTGTAAATCACTCTCGTATATAGCTATCTATAAAACAACCTCCTTTAGAAAATACATTTGATACCGCGATGGATAGGTGACACTAATAGCTGGAAACTTGCCGCGATAAAAATCGAAATGTAATTATCCACCCGAAACGTAACCATCCCCAAAGCGCCCCCCTCCCCCCCAATAACGCAAATAGTAACAGTCAAGGGTAAAATAAAAATTCACACTTTTTAAAAGAATACTTTTGATAGCTTGATCGATAGACAACGCAAACAGCACGAATCCAGTATAAAATCTGCCCAAGACCACAATGAAACTCTAATCCGTATAGCTATCTACAAAACAACTTCCTTTAGAAAATACATTTGATACCGCGATGGATAGGTGACACTAATAGCTGGAAACTTGCCGCGATAAAAATCGAAATGTAATTATCCACCCGAAACGTAACCATCCCCAAAGCGCCCCCCTCCCCCCCAATAACGCAAATAGTAACAGTCAAGGGTAAAATAAAAATTCACACTTTTTAAAAGAATACTTTTGATAGCTTGATCGATAGACAACGCAAACAGCACGAATCCAGTAGAAAATCTGCCCAAGACCACAATGAAACTCTAATCCGTATAGCTATCTACAAAACAACTTCCTTTAGAAAATACATTTGATACCGCGATGGATAGGTGACACTAATAGCTGGAAACTTGCCGCGATAAAAATCGAAATGTAATTATCCACCTGAAACGTAACCATGCCCAAAGCGACACCCTTTAAAAATCCCTGGGTAATCGATCTCGAAACGTGGTCTATCGAGCGTGACGCAGTGGCATCCACCGGCATGCAGCGAGGGGCAGTGCGGGCGTCGTGCGTGGAGCAGAGAGCGGAGAGACGAGCACATGCATTCTCATAAGCCGCGACAAGGAAATCTCGTGGCTGGAGGCGGTCGGGCTGGCCACGGGCCCATCGGTCTCTCGGCGGTCGTACGCGCTCGGCTCGACTCGGCGTTCTCCGGGCGCGCTCCATCGGGGAGGCGGCGCGCGCCTCGTGTCTCACGGAACGCATCTCTCAGTGATTACCGTGCAGTCCTTGCGACACCACCTCTCAGCCTTTCTCCGCTCGCTGTTCTCGCCACAGGGGGTTGGTCGCGCGCGCGCCGCACCAACACGTCGAACCATCGTGAACCACACGACGCGACACGATATGATATATACGCGGAGTATAATTCGCTTCCCTCCGTCGAGCAGCTGCTGTTCGTTTTTCGCGATATAAACAGAGAGAAAGAGAGAGAGAGAGAGAGAGAGAGAGAGAGAGAAAGAAATCGCGCGCCCGATCCAGTCGAATCGGAGTGTACACAGTGATCAGAGTGACACTTTCGCGTGTTTTTTCTTTTTTTTTTCGGTTCGACGCGCGACACCAAGAACCGATCGAGTTTCGACGTAGCTGAAGGAGAAACCTCGGTCGATTTCAGTTGAGTTGAGCGGAAAGATCGTGGTAAAACGTTAATATCGAGCTGTCTCGCGGGATAATGGATCGGTCGCGTGGCGAGGGACGATGGACAATAGCAGGCCCGGTGGCTTGACGGGTCCTGCGTCAAGCTGCTCGAGCGACGGATCGCTACTATGCCGCACGTACGCGCGTTGATCGTCGCCCGAGATCGACCTTTCGAACTTTTCAACAAGTTGTAACGCGTCGACGACGCAGTTACGCTAGTCAACCCCTTCCACTGGACGATCATCCGCCCGCTTCGATCGGATTGTGCTCTTTTTTTTTTTTTTTATTTGTGCGTGTGTGTACTCCGAGCAAGCGCCAAGCGCGGGGGTGGAGTATCTCGTATCGCGATCCTTCGTGGACCGGAAGGATCGTACGAACGATGTTTACTTCTCTGTTGGCTCACCAGTGAATTGTCAGTGAGGGGAAAAAGTTTCCTCCGGTGACTTTTATCGGGGTTGGGTTAACGAGCCACGCTAATTGACCGAAGATCGAACAGACGATCCTCGAATCGTCGAAACAATTTGGCAACTGGCTGAAAACTTGGCGGAAACGTCTTCCTTTTTTGGAAATTGTGTAACACGGTTGGACGATCGTCTCCAAGTTCCGACAACCGTTTTGCAGTTCCCAGAGAGGCGATCGACTTCGAAAAGGAACAGGTAAGCGAGTCGTTTGCGTCTCCAGAGAGTTCTGAGAACTGTTGGTGTGAAGACTTCACTCGTGAGATCGTGTCGTGCATTTCGTGATACAATGGCACGCTCCAGGGAACGAGAGACTCTTGTTACTCTTTCCACTGAAATTTCGCTGTTTAGACGATTAGGGGTGGTCGTGGTCATCGTTAACGTTCTCCAGAGCCGTCGGATATTCGCGTTTGGAATAAAAGAAACGAAACTTGTTTCATCAATAGTTGAAATCGTTACGCTCGATATCTTCGTCGTTTGTGTTCCATCTGTTGTTTAGTGAAATAATCGAAAGATATCGCCATAAGTCTTTTCGCTCTTTTCTCAAGTGATTCTCAAGAGTGGTAATTAAATTTGCGAATTTTTATGCACTCGTAAAGAAATATAAAAAAATATTTAAACTACAGTGCAGTTCCCTTTTTTTTTAAATTACAGACTTTTCATTACATTATATTTCTTTAATTACTTTGTTTCACTTTGACAAGTATAGACATAATTGAAATAGCAACGAGGTCATTCAGACTACAAATATATTAACTGACTATAAGAGTTTGTAGCTGTTCACTTCGTTATATTTTCAGAATTTCTTCCTCTCATTTGTCTGGAATATAATTAAAAGGTATTCGATATTTCGAAGAGAATTCAGAATAGAATCTCCTGATTCTCCGTGCTTTCGCCGGCGGAATAATAATTGGGCCACGATGTTAAGAATAATTAGCAACCTTAACAACTAGGAAATGTAGGTTACCATTTACTCGTTTAATTAACCAACGTGTATATACTCTGCTGATGCGATATTTAAGTATTAACGTCGCACTGGTTTTCATTTTCTACGAAATACACATAACAAATTCCATTTTATTCCGCGTCGATTCATTTAATTGTTAACTAGACGACTCTCAACTGAAAACTTTCCATTGCGATCGCCAAGAGTTAGAAATGAACAATTACAAACTTTTACAAACTTTACGATTTACTTCATGAATGCTTTAGTGCGTTTTACATGCAGTTTTATTGAAATAAAAACTTCTGTCGTATCAATTTTTTAAGTCGAGCTCAAACGTTTTACTGATTTCTCTTTTTAAACTTTAAATACATTCTACAATCCGGTTACTCTCAATTAATCGAATGCTCCAAATTATTTAATTGCAATTATTTTTCTTTGTGATGTGATATTTATTGGAACAACAATCGTTTCGTATGTCATTTATAAAAAAAACACGTTGGCACAATTCTATACGACTTTGAAACGTAGGTTGTTTCAACATTATCTTAAGAACTTTGTTTTTGTTTAATGCAGTTCTCGTGGAATGCACTAATTCTTTTCTTTTTTGTGAATTTATTATTTTAATAGAAGCAGTCCAGTAGAAAATATCACGAGGATTTCGTTCGTTTTTCTCCTAATTGGGCACCTAATTATTCGTAATACAGCGACGATTAGTCCGGCTAATGACGGTCCTGTCGATAATTGCCAATCAGGATGATCACTGGCTCGAATAACTGAAATTAAGCATTCGAGTCTTTGGTATCGCATCGTCATCAGTATCAATTGCACGTTAAAATCCGCGAGGCGCAACTTGGATCGCGATATCGCCGCGAAATTTCAAGCAACGGGAGGGGGGAGGGGGCCCGCTCGTTCGCCGCGTTATTACGTACAGTATGCTTTAACTATGCGCAAAATTCGAGCCAAATTACTAGCTAGAACGTCGCGCGTGGCGTTCCCCTCGTTAGCGGAGACCAGCTCACTAAGAACTCCGTTGTGCTCTTGGCATTCGTGGTTCGGAATCCACTTAAAACTTCGGATCCCCGGGTAAATGACCACAGTGGTCGATGTCAGCTAATACGAAGGCGAAGTGTGTACACTCGGGGGAAAAGAGGGGGCAGAGGTAACGGATTAAAAGAATATCCGAAGTAGGTTAAAATGTTTATGCGTTTGTTGAAAAATTTCGGAGTGCAAGGATGCATTGAATGAAAGACTACGTAAAAATGAAAAGTAACAATGAAGGAGGGTGATAAATGTTGTACTTAAGTATTGTTAAATATTAAATTGTTTTGACACATTAGCGACAGTAGTCCATTCTGATGTATATGTCATTCTATTTCCCGATTATCATCTATCTTTCGAATTTTCTTTCGTCACTGTGCTACAGTTTGTTTGATCTCTTGTTGGTGAAGATCTCGATGAATCTTCTGGCAAAAACTTTGTCTAAATTTAACCAGAAGCTCTGTTTAAAAAAAAAAAAGTTAGAAACGCATATCCGATAGATGGCCTATTTTTATCGTTGCATTGTACAAACCAAACAGATTTCCACCCAAAACTATAATTCCTCTATCGCTCTTGTAAAGACGCAAGATTGCACATACGTCCGCAGTCAACAAAGACGCTCTCCAAAATTTGATCGAAATCGTAAAGCGACGAAACGAGAAAGAGGTAGAACGATGGGACGACAGATTTCGCGGCAGAACTTTAATTACGGGATTGTTCGAGAGGTGGGGCAAATGGTTGACGAGGGACGAAGGCCGAAACAGAGGGTTTTCCTCGATCGGAGGCGTCGTTAATGGTGTGAGATCGGCTTGCCGGGATCGTTTACACAATAAGGTGTCGATCAGTCGGAAACAATCAGCGCGAATAATAACAGCGAGAGTGAAGAGCGTGTTCCATTCAGAAGAACGCACAGAAGTCGAGTTGGTAGTCGGACACGGCGGAGACAGCGAATTGAATAAGGAAGAATGGCTGTAATTCACGTCGGTCTTTCTGACGTCGCTTCCGCTTTTCCGTCGCGCTTATTCATTTTTACAGCAGTTGCGTCCGATACGGGCGCGAAAGATGCTCACGACCCAGTTTGAAAGTGCGAACGACGTAATTATGATTTAGCGTGGTCGCGCTGATACTTTCCTTTTTCTAATTTTTTCCTTCTTTCTTCGCTCCTTTCACTCTTTTCTCTCTCTCTCTTTTTTTTTTATTATTCTAGTCGTTCTTCTTCTTCTTCCGCCTCTCCGACATTTCGTCGCAAATTCAGTTGTGAAGCACACTTGTGAATTCAGTTCACGCGAACTCTCCTACTGTTCGAACGCTATTTTTTTCCATTTCTTCTCTCTCTCTCTCTCTCTTTTTCTCTTTTTTATTATTATTTTTTTTTTAATACCTCTTCCACTCGAGAACGACGCGGATCTTCGCGAAAATGACAACGAAATTTGTCATATTCAATTCGCGGGAATTCTATTTTTTTTTTTTCTCGTCGTTGTTGCACAGTTGACTGTTCCACGTTCGCGCAAGCCTTTCCCCTCTTTTTTTTTTCTCTTTTTGGTGCTCTTCGCGTTTCACATGTCGATGCTTCGGTACGTTGAAAATTTTTAGTCACGATACGTTGTACGCACAGATATTGGTCGGTCGGGTTCGAGAAGTGGATTTAATGATACGTATATATATATATATATACTTGTGCACGTAGATCTCGACATCTCTGAGCTTGGATTTCGATGGCACGGTATTTAGAGAGTAATTACGGTTGAAACCTTAGAAAATGGAGAACCGTCTCTGGTTTCTGGTCCTCGTACAAGATCTTCAAGGATCGTATTGTCCTTTGACCCTTGTTGCGGTTAATTTGAGGAAATTCATTCTTCGCGACGTAATGAGGGAAATAGCGCGTAGAATTCGTTTGCGAACGAATTTTCCTCGAGTTTGCGCGAGAAATATGTCTCTGAACGCAGAATAACGATCCAGACAGCAGATAGTACATTATTTAGTTAAGTTCCACGAAAACGCGTTCAGATAAATTGAAGATCGTTGAATAACAGGAATAGATTACGATTTTTATTAATTAATTAATTTATTTTTTCTACAAAAGAGCTTGAAGAGTTTTAAAACTCAGCACACCTTGTTAATCGTAGAAACGTCGTTTATCAAAATATTAAAATATCGAAATATTGTTCTTGATAATTGATATTTAAAAGAACTTTGTCAACTGAGAGACTCGTTCCATTTTATAGCTATAAAAATTGCATTAAGAATCACAAAATTAATTCTCAAGATATCACACGCTGATAGAATCATTTAAACAATTTTCCAAAGAAGAAAAGAAACTTTTGTATCCTTTTCTTTCCTTTTGAAAAAATTGTCAAACCACGACCGAGATCGACCGAAAAAGAAAAGCAATATTCGCCGAAACGAACATTTCAATTAATTAATATCCCTCCTAATTCGAGATGCCGGCAGATAAATAATCAGCTTTGCGCCGCCGCGTTCGATAACACCGCCGCCGCGTTGGAATCGTTGATGTTTCAATGTTTACCTGCCCCGGCGAAACTCCACGGCCCGATAATTACGAACGCTTTTAAATACAGAGGCTTCGATTAATAAACGGACATCGCGTTGCCGCTTACCGATGCTTGGCAGTTAATAAAACAAGTAGCAACGTTGTTTCGTCGGTGCGAATCCGATCAAAGGAGAACACAGATCCGGTTCGAACGATTCTCTCAAAATTAGGTTGCTCTCTCGGTATTTTCGCGAGGAACGTTTTGCCTCGATTTCACCCGAATTGTTCAACGATCTTTTCTCTTTCTTTCTTTCATAATACGTTGTAACGACACAAGAAGAGTATCGCGAGATACGAGGGACGAGTTGCAGTGGAATCGAACTTGCAGAGGGATTAGACACTTGTCACTCGTTGGCCGGCAATTTTCTCAAAAGTGGCCCGCCATCGAGAAAACAATTTGGCCGGGCCCGTAGACGCAAATAAGAAGGAGCAGGTCCATTCCGGAGGACACAGTCGTTTCGGTGCGATTCTACCTGCTGGGAATCACTACCCGGTGATTTTCGCCGGTTCGTCCGTGTCAGATCGGGAGACCCTCTTTCATGTTTTCTCGCGTGTATTCATTACGGTTCTTGTGATTTGGGGATATTGTGGTTTCGCTCTTTTTTCCTTTGCTTTTACATTTATTGGGTAATCGATTGGTCACTGTTTCGCGAGAAAGATGGT